GCTCCTGCCTGGGGAGCGGCCCGGTGGCCTGCCAAGGGTTCGTGCAGGCCCGCCTGATCCAGCGGCTGAGAGGTCGGGGGGAGGAGGCCGGGAGGGACTTCGAACAAGCAGCCTGCCTCGGCAGCCCCTTCGCCCGCCAGCAGCTGGTCCGGATAAAACCCTTACTCCGCCCTCTGCAACCAGATGCTGGCGGAGGTGATGAAGCAGCTGCGCGGCTGCCTGATCCCCCCAGGATAGGCTTCCTCCGGGGGGTATGGGGACCCAGCTGAGAGTCCCGGGGCTCGCCCGCCAGAGGAGCGTGCGGGAGGGCAAATAGGAGAGAGGCCTCTGCAAAAAGGTGGTCCGGCTTGGGCTCGCTCCCCCGCCACCCGTCTGTTTCCCTTTTCCTCTTCCTCCTCCTCCTGCCGCTGCCCGCTCACCCTCTTTCTTCCTCGCCCTCTCGCTGCCATGCCACGCGCGCTCGCCCGCCACCCACCCGTTTCCCCTCCTCCTCCTCCTGTTGGGGGGGTCTTATATGGCCGGTCGCCTTGTGCGCCGGCAAATACAGTATAAAATGTATTGTTGGAATTTTGTACTTGTTCATCTTTATAAAAAGGAATCTATAGATGAAGATAAGTGGTCAAGAAAGATATGTATGCTTGTTAATTTCCTGAGACAACTTCAGGGATATAATTTTTTCCCCAATGGTGGTAGTTTTGTGGGGAAGAGAATTTAGGGTTAGGGGGGTAGATAAGGATAGGGAAAGGGTAAAATTCCAAAGAGTGAGATAGTACATTTCGATCAACTTGTACAATTATGCTAGAAAGAGAGATAAAAGAAACAGCAAATTTTCCAGTATTACTATAGGTACTAATCTATCTAATCCCTAATTGGACTTTCACATTCTTCTTTAATCTATGTTTTCCCAGCTATGTTTTCAAGTCTAATTATGAGATTATTCCCTATATATCCACCAAACATAATAAAAGTCTCCTCCTGTGTTTTACATTTCCCACACTATTTAAAAACATTTTAGTATCTTTTTTTAAAACTTTGTTGGCATTGTGTACCATCAGTAAATCATATATCATCTATAAAACATCTGCATTTTCTTTAATAGTTACTGATTTTTGAATGTTAATATTCTATCATTTTATGCTCATTATATCCTACAGTCTTTATCTTTATTTTATTCATTTAGTCCATTTTTATTGTTGAGGTTTTATTTCCTCCTCCTGGATCCTCTTTTTTTCTATAGTGCACTTTCCTTTAGACTGAGCTTCTTGCTTGCTCTTCTGCTCTAGTCAAGCTTCTTTCTGCATCTGATCCTGATGATTCACTTGATTTCTCATCTCCTTTTTTCTGCCCAGCTACTTTTCCTTTGTTTCCATAAAATCTGCCTTCATTTTGGAATTAATATAATAACTCTGCTCCTGGAATTCAAAGAAGACACCTTCAGACACCAAACACTTATACATAATTGAGTTTGTTCTCAAGAGGGATGTCAACTACGCATATACAGTAGTCTCCTTTTCTGTCATACTTGCCCCAGAATATGTTTCAAGATCTTAATTTATTTATATTCTCTGTTAAGTTCCTTGCCTTTTATATTTCTTAGAACTTTATCTCAAAATATCTTTCTTGTAAACTTAACATGAATTTCTCTGGAGAGAATTTTATTCCTGGTGTATGAATTCTTCATGCTATGTCTATATTTTGTTGAACATCCTCTGGTTGCATCTCCACGAGCGATGCTAAATAGCTAGCAATCATTTGCACTACTGTATATCTTCTCCTTTTTGTTCTGCTAGATTCTGGAATCATAGCATTGGCTCTTTCCATTTGTAGATTTAACAGAGTAATCTTGCTTGCCTTGCTTTTCTGTTTTTGCTCTCCCATCTCTGTATTCAAGGCCTCCAGTCTTGCTTTTGTTCTTTTTGATGTCCCATCTACTCTGGCTATTTGTTTTTTATTTTCTGTAATATCAGTCATTTGCATCCCTTAAATCAGAGGTTGCCAACCCCTGGTCCGCGGCCCAGTGCCGGTCCATGGCCTGAGCCAGACCAGGCTGTGCAGACCTCCTGCACCACCCCCTGCATTCACTCACCCCACAAAGGCTGTTTGCGCCTGCATGTGCACTCGTGCACATGCGTGAACAATGGCACGGTGTTTGTGCAGGTGCGTGCTTGCTTGTGCGCACGCACAAATGGCAGCGCTGCCATTTGTGCATGCGCACGAGCGCGCACCCGCAGAAGCACCATGTCACTGTCCACACATGTGCACAAGTACGTGTGCACCTGCAGAAGCATGGTGCTGCTATTTGCACATGCATGTGCATAAGCACGCACTCGTTCACGCATGCATGCAAGTGCGGTGGTGCCCCGCCTTCCGCAGCTGGTCTGCGGACCAAAAACGGTTGGGGACTGCTGCCTTAAATCTTTCATTTGTACACATAGCTGAGCCATCCCTCTTTGTAGTTGCTATATCACTGTTAATAATAGCTCTTGAATACTGTGTTGCCCATCCTTAAATGACTCTTGTCTCAATATCCCTCTGAGATTCTGTCCCTGTGCCGATGAGCCTCTTTGAGTTCTCTCTTTTCCACCTTTTTCCAACATCCTTTTGCACTCTCTCATTCTCTGCTTGGGGTGTTCCCAGCTCTTTGCTAAGATGGCTTCCTCTTTCAGATGCAGCTTCGGAGGGGGAACCAGCTTTCACCAATCCCATTCCCTCCCCCCCTTGTCATCTCTGCTGTTTCAGACACCACTTCTCCTAACAGTGTCCTCCCCCCCCCCCGCTTTGGGCAGGGAGGAACCAAGGGGTCCCAGTCAGTTTCAGGAGCTTGCCTGAAACCCAAGTGGTTCTCACCACGATGAAAACCCACCCTGAGGATATCATAGGTTAATGTGTCATTGTGAGTTACTAATTCCACATAAGAAAGGGAGGCAATGAGATGGAAATGAGGTAGACTTAACTGGCAAATGTGGCACATTACTCTTTTCCCTCTTTCTGTGCAGACAGTGAAAATATGTTCTGTATTTTCATAGTAACAAATACAGCAAAAGCAGTATAGAAGACTGTGCCCACAAACAGCTGAATACCTGACTCAAGGGGTTCATATTATTTTATTAAAGATTATTATAAATCTATTACACAACATATCTCATATGTAAACATTATAGAACAAAATTGAAAATAAACAGAAGGTTGGGATGAGGTGTCTTTGTTGCAAGGAACTTGGTGACCATCTTGAAATTTTCAGGCTCTTTTGTTCAAGAGTGCTAGTTCAAAGAATTATAGTTTTCTTTTAAAGAATTGTATAGCCTTTTCGATAATATTCTTATTAACATTCTTAGAAGACACATTTTAAATGTGTCCTTGCAGAAATTCTGTTTTTAAGTCATTCTGATATATGGAGGAGGTTTGGTTTCTTCATCATCCGGTTCCACATTTACATCTTGAAGTTTCACTGGTGAGTTAAAAATACTATCCATTTGGCCTAGGAAAGAAAATAATAAATAAATGTCTGTAAGTTTATATGGTTATGTGTATATATGCTAGTGAGCATAAATCAGTCCACCAAACTCAAAGCATTTTCACATTTTAATTATTTTACATTTATTTGTTGCATACACTTGATACATCCTACCTTTCCTCCAATAAGCTGGCGGTGAGGTGCATGGCATTCCTATTCCTATTCAGTGCTCACAACAACCCTGTGATGTACCATGGTTCCCCGAAAATAAGACAGGGTCTTATATTAATTTTTTTCTCCAAAAATGCAGTAGGGCTTATTTTCAGGAGATTTTTTTTCATGTACAACAATCTGCATTTATTCAAATACAGTCATATCATCTTCTGGTTGCTGCACAAAGGTGGAGGGCATGGTTTCACTTAACTAGGGCTTATTTTGGGGGCAGGGCTTACATTACAAGCATCCAGAAAACTCGTACTAGGGCTTATTTTCGGAGAAACAGGGTAGGTCAGGCTAAACAGTATAATTGGCCTAAGGTCACTAATTGAGTGTAATGACCAAGTAGGGTTTTCAAACCCAGTCTCCCATGCCCTAGTCACTCTAATCACTGGATCTTAATAACTCCCAAAGGAAAACAAAAAAAAGCAGTGGGTTTACATACCAGATGAAATACAAACTAACTCCGATGTTTGCAGCTGGTCTTCATTAGATTGTAGCCATTCCTAAGAATGAGCATATGAGAACGGTGAAATGGGCTTGCATAAAAATCTCATTCAGTTATGTCATTGGGGATTAACCAAAAGTAATTACAATGAAAATAAAATACAAGTATCAAAAGAAATTCAACCATTACACAGGTGAAAATGGTATAGTTGTGTCATTTTTAAAAAAATTAAACCATAGCTGTCCACTCACATCATAAAAACTTCTACTAAAGCCCTGCTCTATGTGCTTTGTTTGTTTGTTTAAAATATTTTTACCCCCACTTTCCTTCTTGAGAAAGATCCAAGGCAACTTAGATCATTAAAAGACAATATTTCAAGCTAAAAACAGTAAATATACAAATACGAAAAGGATCAATCCAAAAACCACTCTAAGAAATGGTAAACAAAAGCAATACCAAAAAAACATTTAAAGCAGTAAGGCACAACAGTCTACAGTAGTGCCCCGCATAGCGACGATAATCTGTTCCGGAAAAATTGTCGCTATACAGATTCGTCACTATGCGGAACAAAAAAACCCATAGGAATGCATTAAAACATATTTATGGGAGATGGATCCAGTCTGGCATCCTGTGGGAGGAAGTAACAAAGTCTGGGAGCAAACCTTGGAAAATTCTGCTATCCCTTAAGGCAGAGCTCCCCAACCCCTGGTCCGCAACCTGGTGCCGGTCCACGGCTTGAGCCAGACCGGGCAGCGGAGACAGTCCTCCCTCTGCACACACTCCCACACAGACAGCCTGTTTGCACCTGTACACATGCACGCCTGTGCCCACCCCTCCATGCATGCGCATGAGTGCCCCCTGAGCACCATGCCACCCTTTGTGCATGCACCTGAGCGCCCACACAAGCACTGTGTCACCCTTTGCGCATGTGCACGAGTGTATGTGCATGTGTGAGCGCCCCCGCTCCTTTGTGCATGTGCACACACGCAGGGGGTGTCCTGCCTTCCCCAGCCAGTCCACGGGGCTAAAAAGGTTGGGGACCGCTGCCTTAAGGAACAAAAGAGGGCTTTGGGGGGCACTTTTCCTCCAACATCAGCAGGTGGAGGAGGAGTGGGGTGCTAGAGGGCCAGAAAAATGCCCCTGGGGCTACATGCAGACCACACATTGTCCACCTGTGCTTTAGATGCCCATTTAAGATACTGTTGTTCTACTCAACTATTTTAAATGTCTGTGTCATGTCTATCATTCACTTGCTGCCACTTTATATTATGATATCGATATTGTTTTTATCATACATTGTCATAAAATCTGAATTTGATAGAGGATGCTATTAAGCGGATTTAAATAAGTGGAAACCAACTCTGAAATAATATGACCATATGCTATCAACTTTAATTACAGTCTTTTAAACAGAATGGCCACAGTATTTCATCTTTAGATAAAGTTTCTGGTCTCTGGACTCAGGTTGCCTAGGGATTCCTTTAAACCTGGGGAAGCCTTTGGGGGTCTTGAGATGGGGAGGGTACATGTTCAAAAATGGCAGCCTGGAGTCCCCGTCATAAGCCTTTCATATACGAAGCTGTGCTGACAGAATTCTGGCCATTGTTTAAAAACACACTTCTCAAGGTTTATACGCAACAGTAGATCTACTCAACTATTTTAAATGTCTGTGTCATGTCTATCATTCACTTGCTGCCACTTTATATTATGATATCGATATTGTTTTTATCATACATTGTCATAAAATCTGAATTTGATAGAGGATGCTATTAAGCGGATTTAAATAAGTGGAAACCAACTCTGAAATAATATGACCATATGCTATCAACTTTAATTACAGTCTTTTAAACAGAATGGCCACAGTATTTCATCTTTAGATAAAGTTTCTGGTCTCTGGACTCACGTTGCCTAGGGATTCCTTTAAACCTGGGGAAGCCTTTGGGGGTCTTGAGATGGGGAGGGTACATGTTCAAAAATGGCAGCCTGGAGTCCCCGTCATAAGCCTTTCATATACGAATCTGTGCTGACAGAATTCTGGCCACTGTTTAAAAACACGCTTCTCAAGGTTTATACAGCAACAGTAGATTCTCCTTCGTGTCCTCTATGAATACACACTAATGGGTTAATCTGCTCCTGAGCAGAGCAGTTTTTGGAAACCTCCACAGCTTTAAGCACTTAGTGCTGGGACCTCCCCTACACCTGGCTATATAACTCTGCCCCCGGCCCTGTGCTTCAGTTCTTTTTTGACTGGCAGCTGTAGTAGCAGCTTCGTTTGGAACTTTGCAAGTAGAAACAATTCTATTCCTTTTCTTTCTTTGTCCTCCCCTTTTTCTTTCTTTGTAACAAGTTTCTTTTGCTTGGGGATAAAGTATGAGCTGGCATTAGCTGTTCTTTGTGGAGGCTTTACAAAGCCTGGGTTCCAGCCCTCAGAGCCTTTCTCTTAAAAAAATAAGGTCTTTTACCTTCTTTTTACAGCTACCCCCAGGCTTGAGAGCAACAGCTTTCTGTTTGTCCTGTAATCTTCCTCTTCCTAGCAGGATAGAAGAGGTCAGCTTCTGAGCTTTGCCCTTGGATAAAGATGGGGCACCCTGCAGGTCTAGCCGCCTTCCCCGCTTGTCAGTGGGGCTCTGCCTCTTTGGAGATTGTCATGGAAAAACCCTCTTGTTTCAAGGGGCTTGTTCATACAGCTGGTGACCCTGCAGTGAGTTAGGGCTCTGTCGCCCTGTCCTTTGGAGAAGAAAGGGCCTCCTGCAGCACCGGTCACTTCACAGGTGGAGAAGAAAGGGCCTCCTGCAGCACCGGGATGTACTGCTCCCTCAAACTCGGCTCTGGCAGCAAAGTGTTCATAGTTTTGACCGAACCTGCTGGTAACCCATTCAGCCTTCTCCATTCTGGTGACTATGTTGAGACTGAGCTTGGTCAAGCTAATACTGGGACGGACTTCTCCCCTGTTCGTCACGAGGGCTTACCTTTATTCAGGACTGTAACTCTTATGAGTCACAAGGGGGGGAGATTTTCCAACTAATCTTCCTACACCCATCTCGGTTGTCACAGATAGTAACCCTACTTTAGTGTTAACAGATAAGGAGTTTTTTGGTCGGCGTTTTTATTCTTTTTGGCCACCTCCATTGAATTTATTTTTAATTTTTAACATGACTGTTTCTTGGTCGGTTCACTAAGAGACATTTATTGGCAGCTATTGTAATACAATTGTATTGATTGTGGGTTTAATCTGGAATGATTCAAATGAAACATTCAATATGTCCTCCTTTGTCCTCCTTTTTGTCTTTCTATGTCCTCCTTTTAGTACTCGTGTATCTGGCAACCCTACGCAAGGTGTCTGGGTACATTAAGAGGTTCAAATCAAAGGGGTAATGTCAGCATCTATAAAAAATTTTTGGGGGGTAAAAGTTAAAAAAGTTCCCTGACCCCTGGCCTATGGCATCCTGGGAACGTTAAAGGCCTCAACCCCAAAGTTACCAGCCGCCGCTAGACATGTGGGCAGACAGTGTTCTGACGAGCAGAACTGCAAAACTGAGCATTCTCTTAACTTTTCTGTTGTTGACCAGTCAGTCCATTTAACTCCTTGGTACTTTCTATCGTAGCTGCCAACTTTGCCACTAACTTCGATATACCCCCTGTCACAGGCCATCACAAGGGCTTACCTTATTCAGGATTGTGACTCTTGTGAGTTACGGGGGTGGGGAGAGATTTTCCAGCTTTGTCACAGATAGTCACCTTCCTTCACTGTTAATGGATAAGGAGTTCTTTGGTCGGTGTTTTAATTCTTTTTGGCCACCATGTAGCCACTTACTCCTCTGCCATGGGTGCTTATCATCACCACTTTTGGAATTTGGCACTGTTCATTCTGCAGGTTGCTACTGTGCAACTTTACAGTTCAGGCCTCCCACATCACTAGGAGGCACTGATGCGAGTGCATCACAAGCGCACTGCTCCTCAACATGCCTTAACCCACCACCTAAACAATGGATGGGTTAGGACGTGCCGTTTGTTGGTGTAGGGCTTTTTAGTCAGAAAACTGTTATTCTTGATAACCTGCTCAGGCTCTAGAAGGCGGCACAGTCATTTGTGGCGTAACAACCGTAAGAGCCTGAAGATGTTCCTATCAGCCTATGGCATCCCAGGAACATCAAAGGACTCAATCCCAAAGTTACCAGCTGCCGCCCCTAGACATGTGGGCAGGCATTGCCCTGACTGGCAGAACTGCAGGTAGGACTGCAAAACTGAGCGGTCTCTTTACTTCTCTGCTGTTGACCAGTCAGTCCATTTGACTCCTTGGTACTTTCTATCATAGCTAACAGCTTTGCCACTAACTTCGATATACCCCGTCTCACAGGCTGGGTTATGGGCACCTGCACCCCACCCCACCCCCAAAAAAGAGAGAGAAGGATGGGAGCCTCTGGCCCATCCTTGATTTTGGAGGCCTGAATTCTTTTATTACTCTATACAGTTTCTGTATGGCTTTCTTGGACTCTATTATTCACTAGTTACGTCCAGGGGGGTGGTTTATTGTAAGATGCTCATTTTCATGCAGGCACATGGTTGGTCCGTCAATGCTTTTTCAGGGTTTCAGTTGGGGGAACCACTGTTTACCCATGTTGGGATTACTGGCTCCTGGTTGCGGAGTCCAAGTCACAGGCTGGTAAGCACAAGTCCTTGACATTGTCCCTTTTGTCAGCATTAGGTCTATAGGTCAACATGGTGAAGTTGACTTTGCACCATACACACTGTGTAAATTGTATTAATGTGGCTTTGGATGCTTTCTTGATGCAGGCTTTTTCCCCTGGCAATGAATGATTTGTTATGCTCCTTTTTAATTCAGGCACTTGCTTCCCTGCCTTACAGGTCCAGTGACTCCTGGGACTGATGGCATTTACTACAGCTGCAGGACAGCTTGCTTGATTGAGGATGCAGTCCCTTTAAGCCTGGTTTCTCTCACTCTTTCAGATATCTTGCGACAGCCCATCCATGTTGCTCCAGGCGACTCCGGAACTCGCTGCACAACTGGATTGGTGGACACTTACCCCCCCTTAAGTTAGGGAGACCCTTTGGTCTTTTGACCCAGTTGGTTCGGTCAGTGGCGGATACCAGCCCACTAGGCTGTGGGGGGCTCGTCTGTGCCACCACGTTGCCCTCGACCGCTGGTCTTTGATAGTAGCCAGCCTGCATATCACTGTGTTGGAGCTCCTGCCGCTCACCATGGCCTGCTCCTGGAACCTGTAGTATACATCACACTGCACCTGAGCCCTCACCTACTGTCTCGGGACAGGGGTCGGATGTTTCATCCAGACCTCGGGTTCCCCTACCTGTCGGCTTGGAATCTTCCCTGACAGTAATGGATGTGCTCCATCATGCTTGCACACCTCCTACCACCTTGACCTACTCCTTTCATGGGTAGGCGTTCTGTCCCCTTGCATCAAGACGATTACTAGGCCAATGTCTCTGGACACACTCCTTCGGTTTCTCCTTCACTTGTTTGCCAGGGACTGGCCCATTCTACCTGCATGTTATTTCTCCATGACCCGGAGAATATGTGCCCTGCCTATAGACCACTGACACCTCAGTGGTCTCTCCAGTTAATTCTTTGGCAACCTTCCAGGCTGCCTTTCTTCTGGCATTCTCTTTAGCTTGCAGGGCTGGAGGACTGGCTACACTAAGAGCCAGTCCTCCTTTTCTGCAAATTAACCTTACAGCCAGGCCTTATCTTCTTGCCTAAGGTATTTTCTGCCTTCCATTTGGACCAGCCAGCTGTCCTTCCTGGTTTCTTTCCCACATATCATCAATGCTTGAGACAACTCTGCACGCTCTAGACGTCTCCCTGTCACCTTTGCTGGCTCTCCTTCGGAGCAGCGGCTTCCTCTTAGACCATGTCTAGCTGGATGGTCCAGACCATCTGCCTTCCGTATGATTCGGCAGAAACTCTTCTTCCATAATAGTGAGAGCTCACTCTACTAGAGCTGTGGCATCCTCAGTGGCCTTTCTCTGTCACGTGGATGTCGCGGATGTCTGCCACGTGTGCCACTCCGTCTCCCTTCATCTTGCCCTACCACCTGGTTGTCCGGACAAAGGCTCAGGCTGCAGTAGGGCAAGCTGTCCTGGCTTCTACACTCTTGTGACATCCCTCCTCCTGGTTGGTCAGCTTGCCAGTCAACCATTAGTGTGCATTCACAGAGAACACGAAGGAGAAAAGAGTTTACCTGCCTGTAACTCTGGTTCTTCGAGTAGTCCTTTGTGAATTCGCACATCCGACCCTCCTCCTCGCTGTCTGTCACATGTTCCATGGCATATTAGGCAGCCGCAGTCGGTTCCTTCAGAACTGAAGCACTGGGCTGGGGGCGGGGTTATATAGCCACGTGTAGGGGAGGTCCCAGCACTAAGTGCTTAAAGCTGTGGAAGTTTCCAAAACTGCTCTGCTCAGGTGCAGATTAATCAATTAGTGTGAATTCACAGAGGACTACTCGAAGAACCAGAGTTACAGGTAAGTAACCTCTTTTTTGTTGTCTAATATGCAGGAGAGCAAGTCCTATTAATTTTACCCATTTGTGAAACACAATCTGCATATATCTTGGCAGCAAATTGCTGCAAGTTAAGAAGTTAGGCATTTGCTGCCAATACTTTTCTGTAAAACCCATATCACAGCTCTCTGCTCATAAGAAAATATGTAAAGTAGAATCATGAACCTTGTAACCACTATATATACAAACTTGTGTCTAAAGAGCTTATGTCTAAAGGGCACATAGTGCTTTTACTTTCCTGGCCTCCATGATCACTGCAGATGGTGAGAGCAGCCACAAAATTTAAAGACACCTGCTTCTTGGGAGGAAAGCAATGGTAAACCTAGGCAACATCTTAAAAAACAGAGATATCACCTTGCCAACAAAGGTCTGCATAGTCAAAGCTATGGTTTTTCCAGTAGTAATGTACAGTATCGAAGTGAGAGCTGGACCATAAAGAGGGCTGACCACCAAAGAATTGATGCTTTTGAATTGTGGTGCTGGAGGAGACTCTTGAGAGTCCTCTGGACTGCAAGGAGATCAAACCTATCAGTTCTGAAGGAAACCAACCCTGGGTGCTCACTGGAAGGACAGAACCTGAAGCTCAGGCTCCAATACTTTGGCCATCTCATGAGAAGACTCCCTGGAAAAAGCCCTGATGTTGGGAATGTGAAGGCAAGAGGAGAAGGGGATGACAGAGGATGAGATGGTTGGACAGTGTCATCGAAGCTACCAACTTGAATTTGTCCCAACAATGGAAGACAGGAGGGCCTGGCGTGCTCTAGTCCATGGGGTCATGAAGTGTTGGACACGACTTAAAAACGAAATAACAATTACGTGTTTCCCAACTACTTATTACAACCATTTAGTTTCAATGATGGTATAGAATTAGGTGATCATAAAATACTGAATTCTTACAGCCTACCCTATGTCATTTGGGATGTGACTATTAAAAGCATATCATATGAAGTCATATCATAACATAACCGGGAAGTTGTCCAAAATTAATTGCATAGGCTAACAAAAGTTAATTCTCCCCACTACAAGATAAACAAACACATCATGTTTACAAATTATAATGAAGTTACTTACAAAACCAGTGACGCTGTCATAACATGCACAACATGGAAGACTTCGGCAACTCAGATAAGCAATAATCAGCACAATACAACCACTAAAAATAGATGTTACCAGCAGTGTGATATTAGCTCCCTCTACAAGTTTGTCAAGTACAAATACCTGTAATAAAAAACCAGGAATTTTACTAAAACATATTTAATTCAATCTTATTTGTTGTTTTAAATCAGAAATCTTTATCAGAGTTTTAAAAATAAACTATTCTTTTGCATAATAAATTATAGCAAACCACTACACAATAGGACCCCCATATCCACAGGAGAGCTTTTCTGCGTTCCACCATTAATGCCTGAAACTATCCACAGATAGTAGCATACTCTATATACAACATACAAGGAAGTCAGCCAAAGGCCAAAAGGCCAGCCCTCTAGTATGTTGTAAATGAAACCATGGATACTAATCCCACAGATATGGGGGGTCCTACAACTACATAAGATGTAATTGTACTAATCTGTTTCATTACACGTTAATACCGTTAGTGATATTTAATAATAATAATAATAGTGGGTCATCAAGTCAATTCTGACTTATGCCAACCCTTTCCAGGGTTTTCTAGATAGAGTATACTCAGAAGTGGTTTACCATTCTTTTCTTCTTGGGGCACCCTGGGACTGCGCAACTTGCCCAAGGCTACACAGGTTGACTCTTCTCCCAGGAGGCACAGGAACTGAACTCCCAATCTCTGCAGCCAAGAACTTAACCCACTGAGCTGTCCAGCCCACTGTTTTCAGGATTGTTATAAACTAGATGCAACTTGTTTGTTTATTTATTTATTTAACTTGTATGCCACCCACTCTACCCAAAGGTCTCTGGGCAGCTTACAACAATTAAAATACAATAAAAAGATAAAAACAATTAAAATACAATTAAAATCGATACTCTAAAAATTGCCATCAGGATCCACAATTGATTAGCATATAACAACAAATAACAATCACATCCAACTGTTGTGAAAATGAGGACCTACACTTGATGATACATGGCCTCTAGCTGGGTTTTGTACATTTGTACACTAATCATCTGCATCCACCCTGCATGTCTTAAAATTTGCTGTAGTATGCATATCATTCTGGATCAGGTGGGGCACTTCAATACAAGTTGCTTTCTTTTTAATTTGTAATTAGCAGGGCAGGAAAGAAACCCTATTATACCAGATCAGTACCATATGTTTGTACTCTATGGTGCTTATGTATGGTGTTGTGTTATGAGCAACAGAACTGGTAAAAAGTGTATAACCATTTAATAAAGATACAGCGGTGCCCTGCATAGCAACATTAATCCGTTCCAGGATTAACGTCGCTATCCGGATTCATCGCTATGTGGGGGGGAACCCATAGGAACGCATTAAACTACGTTTAATGCGTTCCTATTGGAGGAAAACTCACCACTATGCAGGGAATCCTCCATCCCGCTGCCATTTTTGCCACCCGGTAAGCGAGGGCAGGGCGTGAAAACGCTGCAGGTGGCCATTTTGTTGACCCGGTGGCCATTTTGGAACCGCCGATCAGCTGTTTGTAAAACATCACAATGCGAAGATAGGTAAGCAAAACGCTTACCGATCATCGCAATGCGATGTTTTTCCTATCAAACGAGAACTTTCCTATCAAACGAGAATATTCAAACGAGAACTTTGAAGGCCGAAGTGGAGAAGGGTTCCATGTGAACCCTTCTAAAACAAGGGTTCCATGTGAACCCTGTCTAAAACATTGCAATGCGATCGCATTAGCGATCGCAAAAAATGTGTCGCTATGCGGATTTGTCGTTAAACGGTGCACTCCTTAAGCGAGGCACCACTGTATATCATACTGTTTCCTGTAGCAGGGGCATACAGAGTACAATGGTTTTAAAAGGGAGTACAGTGGTTTCAAATGGGAAATATTTAGTTGGGCAGAGGTATCACAGAATTTGATACTTACTATGGTTGGATGATGAGTCACACCATCGAACCCTTTATATTTTTCACCATATTCTAATGTTATAGAGGCATAGACAATTACAATTAGAGTTGTAAAACAGGAAAACACAGAAGCAATGATCATTGCATGTACCTGTACAAAAGGCAAGAGAAGTGACATCCAAGGTAAGAAATTACTTTGTACATTAAAACTGAGGTGTGGAAATCTATATGTTTCAAATGCCACATTCATATCTTCGGTTTTCCAGAAGAATAACAGAGACATCTTCATCACACAGTGTCCAGAGCATGGACATGAGCCAACCAAAACAAACATGTGCATAACATTTTCACTGGCTTCTATGTGAATACAAAACAATTCACTGTGACTGTTTCTCACATCTGCCTTCCAGTACAAGAAGAGGCTTGCTCATGGTAAGGCACAGGAAGATCCCTCCAAATTTGGTGGATACTCTTTTCCCCCTCCCAAGGAGATGGGGGTGAGAGGGGGTCTTAAAAGTAGCATAGAGACTACATACAGTTGCATGGAACCTTGTCCACCTGTGGAGAGGAGGGGTGGTCATTGACAGAAATGCATGTGCCTAGATCTTGATCCAACCCATGTACTTTGAGGGATTTTGTGTGGGAATCCAGAAGTGTTTGATGTTTTAATCTGAATCCTACACATATGTATAGGTCAGGAAGTTCCATCTAAATTGACATTATAAATGTACAAGCTATCAGAATGCCACACTATACACAGTGAACATGACTGCTGCATGTACATCAATATTTCCTTTCAGCAAATGCCAGGTATGTATGAGGTATATGCATTGTTAAGCATCCAGGAACCCTGATGCCACATAATGTACATTGAAGACTCCAGGTAAAAAGTGTTTACACATTTTATCACAAAGCTCTTTACAATATACATATCATAAATATGTTTCATTTACAGTATTTTAAAATGCATGCCATACAGTACTGTACTTCAAAACTTTATACTGTATGTAATCTACTTGGTAAGTGATTTATAGACTTGGTAGCCAACCTATAATAAACAGTAGCAACGGAAAATATGAAGAGGGGAATGAAACAAAATATTGTAGCACTTTGAAGACTATAGACATTTTATTCCAGCAAGCCAGAGGCGGGAAAAAGCTTTGTTAATTAAATAGCAGCAGGATATTTAGTTAGTGAAAGCGCCCTCCTCTCACTGAAACTCGGTGTTAGATTGCATGCAAGATTATTTTCTCCTCCAACAGAGTACTCAGAAGTGGTTTATCACCTCCTTTCTCTGGGACTAGGCAGCGTGCCCAAGGCCACACAGACTGGCTCTTCTGAGATGTGCAGTGCAGAATTGAACTCCCAACCTTTGGCTCTGCAGTCAGATACCGAACTCACTTAGCTATCCAACCAGCTGTTCTAGATTAATTAATACTGTATAAATATTTGAAAATATACTGTTTAAGGAAAGCCAGCTGTGCTACAGAATTGAACTCCCAACCTTTGGCTCTGCCGTCAGATACCGAACTCACTGAGCTATCCAACCAGCTGTTCTAGATTAATTAATACTGTATAAATATTTGAAAATATACTGTTTAAGAAAAGCCAGCTTGCCTTCCCCTTAAACAAATCAACAAACAAACAAACAAAAAATACAAACATACCAGAATTGGATTCTTCCTCTGAGAAGAAAGCAATGCCATAATTCCAGGAATACTCATGAACTGCAAAACAGAACATGGATTCAATTTTAAAAAACAATGCATGGACAACAATTGTCAGAATTTATCAGAGATATTTTTAAGATGTAATGTATTGTGATCAATGTATCCTCTAACTTTCAGCTCTGTTGGGCAGGGCTCTGACTCTCATGTGCATGACTTTGCGTGTGCACACCTCCACATACCCCAGGGTTCTGCCACGACCAGAACCTAATGTGATCGCTGCACGGAAGGGGAAAAATAGGTGTGCATGTGTGTACACCCAGCTTGGAGGGAACCTTGATTATGATACATTATGCTATGAAAAGATTCAGGTCACATGCAGCCTCCACTCATTGCAATGGGGCTTTCAACCACTGGAATCCTTCCACAGTAGCTTGCTTGATGAAACAGTCACCAAAACAATCAGTTTACAAGTAATACAGAATGTAAGTACTGAGGAAATTTTAGTCCATAGTATTTATAATATTCTGGGACAATTTTAGGTAATTTAACTGATACCAGAGAAGGACTAAGATTTGTCTATTAGCTATGAAATATGGACTGAATATTTTTGGTCAGTTGTGCTAGGTTATTTTCCCCTTATATATTTACTGAAATATAACTGACACCTGATACTATTGATGTTGCAATCAAAAATATGGTAGTATAAAAGGTACAATAAAAATATCAAAAGAATGTTTTAGTTACATTCCAAAAATTCAAGAGTTTGCTGGACTTTTATTTGCAATGTTGCATGCTGCCTGTAGTTTGTTTGACTGGAAGGGACTATTCTTGGCTGGGGTGATTATCTATCCAGGACTAAGCAATTATTCTTTCCAGCCTTTGAATTCAGAGAGAGACCCATCTCTCTGCTGAGTGCTTTTTCCTTCTCTTTAGTCTGTTGATATCATACGTTTGCTTGCTTGTTATCTGGTTGGTTGGTTGCAAAGATGCATGAAATAAAGAAAGCAGCATTCACAAGTCTGTAATTTCAATCAGCTGTAATTTTTTCTTCCCTTACGTCTTGAGATTTTAAGTGCTAGCTAATGAGAAAGGGGTAGACTTGGGGGTGGGGGACTTGTAGCTCATGTCCTCTGCGGAACTCTGAACTTCTACTATGCAGCACAAAGAAATTTTACCAGAAATTTAAAATTCTACAATACTTATTGACCTAAAGGTGCAATTAAAATAATAAAGTTTGTAAAAGTAAGAATGTAATAAACAAAATGACTTCCTTAGCATTTAATTATATTATAAATACACACACACAAAATTAATCTAAGTGCTCACCCAGCCAAAGCAGTTTAAATCTATGGAGGAATGTCCATGTTTTCCTCATCAGCTGCTGATATTGCTGATACATGATTCCTCATATTCCCCAGTATCAGTGTTTTGGGTATCTGTTGTGTGTGGCATGGTGTGTTAATTGCCTTGCTGTGTTGATGTGTTTTCCTGTCTTCCTATATTTACATTTCTCAGATGTGAAAATCTCTCTAAGCGGTAAACTTTATTATTATTTTTTCCAGGACCTGCAAGTAATAGGGATCTGATGCACCAAGGAGAAATTATAATAGAAATCTGCATTGCATTTGCTGCTTCTCATCTTACATTTCCAGCAAATCAGAATCTGGCACGTTGCCACCATAACAATAAGCCTTATTGCTGTGACTAAGAGTTTCCAAGCCTACAGATTTCAATAGGTTGTAACTAAATAAAATAGTAAAATAAAATAGAGCAAATCACACAACATATAAATGCCACCTCTGTCATGTTAATATTTTACATAATTCAATATACTTCTAATTCAGTCCCTTGTTTGGGTCAGGAATATTACCATATAATGACCTTTTCTCCCAGGCCTGCCTGGAGAGCCAGTGAATTGTTTTGCAGTAGCTTTTATTAAACTGCTGTCCAAACCTCATTTTTAGAATGCAATGTACATTTCCAAGGCTGCATTTTCTACACTTCAACTTAATTGATTTAGCACCCTGTATGGACAAAATTCCACATGTGCTGCAATCTGCAGCAGTTCTCACACCAATATACCACCATGCCAGAAATGCATAGGGTTTGATAGATAAGATATTTGGGGCAAATGGTTTTCAAAATTTTAGTGGAGTCTCCTTTCATCTATTATTAGCAACATGTAAGAGAAGAAAAGAGGATCAAGGTAACATTTTCAGTAAAGAGTATACTACTTTCTGCAGTCATCATGTCCCATTCAAGTTTCATTGCTTTACTAGTACTAGTGGGGGAAAAATAATATTGGAATCAGAATAGTTCAGCTTCTGGGAATGAAATTCATCCTAGCAAAATTGTCTTCTTCCAGACCCTTTCCTGAATTCAGAGAGGTTAATCACAATAAAGAATAGAGTACATCTACTAGTACATCTTATTCTGCCGATCTAAGCCCCCTCCCCCACATACTTTACCTAAGTTCCTCCCACTAAAAGGGTCCCTCTTCCATAACTATTGTATCTTAAAATGTGGAAGGGTTACTTTTTAGGATGATAGATTCCAGAATCCCTTAGTTAGCATAGCTATTATCCATGGCAGTTGGGGATTCTGGCCATTAAAGTCCAAAAAAACCTTTCCAAGATATATTCTTGCTTCAGCTGTAAAAGTCTTTCCAATCAGCTTTAAGAGCTAAAATGCAGCCTTTGTGTTTACAAACAGTCTAAGAATATACGAAACAGACAACAGGGTTATGCAGTTGCTCTTATTTCCTACTTGCAGGCTTCCAGGGCGCTGCTGGAAACAGAATGGTGAAGTAGATGGAGAGGAACAAGTAACAGTGACCTCTTGAGTTCCAGGCTCTAAACTGCACAAATCAGTTTTATTTATAATTAATGTGCCCCGTTCCTTAAGTTCTCCTCTGCTGATCCCCCCCCCCAAAAAAAACCCAGTTAAATGCCTTCTTCCAGGCAGTTTGCTTCTCTGCCTCCAACTTAAGGAGGCAGGACTTGTCAAGCAAAGGTAGCGTGGCATTTAAATAGGCAGCACTCGGGAGAGTTACTTTTAGGACTACACCTTTAACTATTGTATCAATACTGGTTGGAGATTCTGAGACTTGAAGTCCAGAAAAGTAACTTTTTGGGGTTTGGATGGATTGCAACCACCTAACTTTACCAGTCCATGCCTACCCCCTTAAACCCCCCCCCTCAACTATCCCCAAGATCCTACTGTCTAACAGGAGGAGGTTCTGACTTCTTACACGGATAAGCAAGAATAACCCTACAATTTTTCTCTCTCTTGTACACCATTACATTTGTACCTTGAACATCAAAAAAGGGAATGAGGAAGATGACTGAGACTGCATCTTACTCCCTTCATAAGTTGTGGCTCAGCACACTCGCTGTGCACTGAAGACTCCAAAGGCACCCAGCTCTACATGTGTTCATGATGTACTGCCCTGCTTGTAAAGTATGGAAGTTTACAGTATATGCCTGGTTATACACCGGACTGTGCAAGTTCTCTAAAACAGAGACCATGTTCCCCATATGAAAGTGGCAATGGGGGAGGTACTGCCCTGCTTGTAAAGTATGGAAGTTCATATGCCTGGTTTTACACCGGACTGTCCAAGTTCTCTAAAACAGAGACCATGTTTCCCATATCAAAGTGGCAATGGGGGAAGTGTATTATACAGAACTATGCATTCCCGTGTAATTAATGCAAAGAAAAGGCCAAAGTGTGAGAAGTAATATCGCTTACCACACCAGCCCAAATTGGTGTCCTAGATTTACTCAGTGCCGACTCCCTTCTGTGAGCACCATCGATTACTCCCGTGATGAGGCACACCGCAGAACAGGCTATCTGCAAGAGCCCCAACACGACCATACTCTTCTGATTGAATATGAAATATCTGTACCGATCCATTTCTGTTAATGCACATACAGTTTGGGAAGTAGTTCAGAGACTGTTCAAGAAAAGAGAGTCTTTGTCATTTATCCTGAACAGAAAATGCAAATTGAAAACGAAAAACCCACACAGCCCGTTAGCACTTCAACAAGCATCATCTGACAAATCACTCCCATGCCATTCCATTAATAACACAGAGGACCTGCCACAGACGTGCAGAATTAATAACTAGATCTGCTGTATATATGGCGTTCCAAACACTTGAGTAAGAAAGTGTAAGAAATTATAGACATTGAAGCTAGCTGGGTGTTTTGCTTTGCCCTGCTCTGCTTTGTGTAAAAACACACACACACACACAAAAAAAATCATACATCTTGCCAACTAAAAACACACTGCAGTCTGCATGATGCAATATGTTTACATTTTAATGCGTATGAACTTTTAGATAGTGAGAAACTCTCCTTTGGAGCTAGTATTTGTATTTATTTCATTGGTCAGAAACCTATTAGTGTTCACATGTTTATGTAACATGCTGCAGCTAATTGCAGCTAACTGACAAAGTGCCAGGATACATATTGATTGCACAATCAGGTGCATGTCCAGGCATATGACCAGGCACACAGCAAAGACACATAAATGTGACTAAATGTCAAGGGCTGTAATCAAAGTGGCAGAGAAGTGCATACATAGATCCCACCCCAACATTTCCCTTTGGTGTCTATCAGATCTTTCCACACTCAGTGTTTATTATATAAAGATTATATAAATATTCATATAGACTTCCCACATTTAGAGGCCCTAATAAGGAAGAGCATTGTAAGTGGAACACATTTTACACATGCAGCTTCAGATGTTCATGTTGAATGAATGCACAAGGGTCTGGTTAATGTTGGGGGAGGGTGGGGGGACAGAGAGATTGCGCCCCAATCTGCTTTCAGACTATAACACATGAACAGGGCTACTGGGTATGGTTTCAAAAAAAATAAAAGAAAGTACAGAAGACTGAACTCTGCAATATATCTTGCATATCACTCAACCCTTTTGCCGGAAAGATTAATCCTTTTATACCCGGTTCATTTTCAGTTCCTTATACTGGACTTTTTTTGTTATCCAGATAAATAATGCTTCTGTCATCACAGTTCAGAGCCTTGCTTCAGAGAAATTGGCATTATAAAAAATAATAGAAAGGTGGGGTGAAGGAGTGAATCAACACGCCACTTCTCATGCTAGTGAAAATGAAAGGAAAAGAATATGCCAATCCATGGCATTAATGTTTTGATGTGGTTAGAGTTCTTTCCTACAGGATTGTCTTAACGGCAGGGACAATAGGGACACAGCTTTGTGGCTTGTCAGTGCAGAATTATGCAGCTGGTGGAAAATGTGGCATTTTTGAGGAGTGTTCTGTATCTGAAAATCTGATGGAAGATAATACATCTTCTGCAGTGTAGGAGTGCCTGTTCCCTTCCACTGAGCCTTTACTTGTGCCTTTGTAAATAAAGCAAATACTTCAGAGACACCATGCCTCTCCAGAGAACCTTAAGCAAAGGCTGCAGTCCTATACCCACTGAATGCAATAGAACTAACTTCTGATTAGATGTGTGTTTCATGAAGTGGACTGGGGTCCATGAAAGTTGGTGCTGAATAGAAGTTGTTAGTTTCAAAGCGGACACTGTTCTTTTGCTGCAACAGGTGGATGTAGCTACTCCTTTGGAAACACTGGGCCTATAACACTACCTTTGCAACTCTCCACTTTTCCAGCAAATGGGGAATCGTTATTAACAATTTAATTAAATTAGCATCTGTGTGAAGGCAGTTTCCACTGACAGTGCAACCCCCACCCCTACCCCTGATGAGTTCAACTACTGTTCCCACCATCCTCATCTGAGACTGGGCACTGGGCACAGAGAATCTGACCAGGAAGCAGGGAGTTTCCAGAGACTAGGTGGGGTTGCCTTTGGACAAAGGACGAGTACAGCTCTTTTCCGAGGCCATCGTATAACAGGAGCAGAGATAGGACACCTTACATTTCAGACAACAGTTCATAAAAGACTCCCCCAAAACCACACCACTAACTGCAGCAGCTAGAACAGGAGGGTTTTAGCTGCTGCAGTCTAAAAGGACAATTTTCCCATTTCTAAACGAGAATAGCTTTGCCTACAGAAATTCTCCCCTCTTGCCAGGTTTGAACGTGTTTTAAGACTTCAATTGTCCTAATAGATAACCATCAAGCGCGTTTACTATGGGAACGTGTTTTAAGACTTCAATTGTCCTAACAGATAACCATAAAACGCGTTTACTATGGAGCGTGTGAGGTGAAATGCTCAACTTTTGAAAAGTTCAGCAATAGCGCCAAATGGGATAAAGAAATCATCCCAGGAAGGGTGGGAGGTGGGGGTGGTGAAGACTGCAAGCTCTTCCTGCTGGATAAGCAAGCTAGGAGAGGCAAGAAGGTGCTTTTTATTCTCAGTTACAAAACATCAGCGCTGCTATCAAGGGTAGTTTATCAAAGCTGGCTCCTGGACGCTGCCGCTGATCGCCCCAGAAAGTCCACGGCTGGTCTGGTTCCCCGGGCGAGAGGGCACAAGGACCAGGAGGTTGGAGGAAGAGACGATCGGAGGGCAGCCCCAGGAAAAAAGAAACACGAGATGAGATGGGGTGGGGTGGGGTGGGGTGGTTCTTTCCTGACCTCTGGCTGGCTTACCTGCTTCCTCCAGGTTCAGTGAGGAGGCTTCCCTAGGCCTGGGCCACCGGCAGGTGTGCTGGGGAGGCAGCCAGGGGTCGGGGTCGAGAGTGAGTCCCCCGTGGGCCGGAAGCCCCTGTAGTCCTCGGCGCGGTGGGGCCAGGGGCTCGCCCCACCCCTGTGCTGTCTCGCCCGGCCCAGCCCTCGGCAGGTGGCACCCTTCCTGGTTACCTTTCCAGGTTACCTTCCAGTTTAACCCCGTGAGTGCCACGCGGCAGCAGGACGGTGTAGCGTTCCCTGCCCGCTTTTCCCCCTCCCCGGTGCTTTGAAGCGGAAATAATTGGAAGGAACTGAAGTTAGGTCTCCATGATTAAAAGAGCAAGAAGTCTTCTGCGGTCTTTTCTCCTACTCTTCGCGCGCACACGCTCCGCTACTTAGCCATCGAATGGCAGCTCGTAGGCTGATCAAGCTGGATAATAAAATCTGAAAATCTGGATAGACAGAAGTGGCTTGAAGGTCACATTAACGGAAGAGAAAAAAAGATTCGTTCTGCGTCTTTTGAATGCTTTCCGGGCTTCTGAGAAATGATTCGATGTTTGCAGCTGATCTTTTCAAGCGTCGAACCCAACGTACCGCATTTTCAGGTACAGTATGAGGAAAACTACCTGTTAAAGATTACAACTCCGGGAACATCACAGCCAGGGAATGTTGGGCTGGTGTATATATTGTGGAGGATGTAATCTTAAGTCGTCGTCGTCATCATCATCATCAAAAAGTAAATTCTTGCTTTTCTCGCCCTTTTCTTCCACCAGCCCCCAGCGCCCAAAAGGACCGAGCCTCGTACCGCAGGGGCTAAACTGCTGTACTGCAGCCAAAACTGTGCTCACAACCTGGGGTTCAATACCAGGTAGCGGCTCAAGGTTGACTCAGCCTTCTATCCTTCCGAGGTCGGTACCCAGCTCGCTGGGGGGGGGGGCAATGTGTAGCCTGCATAATTAACTTGTAAACCGCCCAGAGAGTGCTTGAAGCGCTATGGGGCGGTATATAAGCAGCACGCTTTTTATTTTATTTTTTCTTTTGCTTTGCAGTCATTTATATAGTAACACAAACATAACACATGTCCAGTGATCTCCTTCGAAAGAAAGCCAAAACCCAGTAGGCACTGCAGCCCTGAAACTTCTCAGGACTCATGGAAAAAACGGTGAACCTGGCCGGACATCGTAGAAGAAAATGCCAGATTAGAAAGGTGATACTTTCTCATGCATCTGCTTTAACTGAGAATAGGAATGTGTGTTCTGCTTTTTCAGCCAAGCTGTTGAAAACACCTTCTATCACAACTAGATGCCTAAAGATCTGGTTCACGCGGCTCCCAGGCAGAGCTGCCGGGATTTGCGCAGTCCAAAAACAGCGAGAGTGATCCGAATTAGCGCGCAGCTGAGCGATCCATCTTCAAATAACTCAGAACAGCCTTATGTACATATACTCAGAAGTGAGCCTCATTGTGTTCAGTGAGGCCGACATCCAGCGGGAGCTCGGAAGTGCTATTTTTTGGGGACTACACAGTCCAGCATCCTCAGTTAGCAAGTAATTGCTATCTCCCTAACTAGCTTTTGTGGGGGGGGGGGAGAGGCTAAAACTAGTCTTTTCTCAAAGCTTGGAGAGGTTTCTCTTTTTTTCCCTTTGGACAATTTGGACAATTTACAGAGCCCTTAGCCACCATGGTGGCTGGGTGTTGTAGCTCACCACCACCACCAAAAAGTGTTCTCAAACTCTAATCCATCTCACATTGATTCGCAAACTCTACTCTGTCCAGACTGATTCTTTATCATGGAGCAATCCTCAGCTCTTGGGCTTTTCCAGGATACAGGACAAGAAGTCATCCCAGCTTCTCATCTCTGTTCCCTGACTATTTAAACCCCAGCATCCTCTACAGTTCAAATTGTGGCAAAGAGAAAGGAAATTAGGATGCTGTGAAGAGATAAGGAAATGGTTGCATAGAAGTTCAAATGTGATTTTAACAAGGCAATACAAGCATTTACAGCAGCAGATACTGCATATACACCAGCTAAGGATGATTCCACCCCATTCCCTATTTTACAGAATTAGGGGACAAAAGCCAGAACAGGACAGATTAGAAACAATTAGTTAAAAAGGGAGCACATCCTTTACATTTACCTCGGGCAGAGCTGTGAAGAGTTTTTTTATTATTACTACAACTCCTTGAGTCTGGGGTATTCTGAGAGTTTGAGTCCACTAAAAATTAACTCTTCAGAACTCTGTCTGGAAATAAGCTGACTGAACACAGTCTTACTTTTGAGTATACAGTGGTGCCTCACAAGACAGTTACCCCGCATGACAGTTTTTTCACTAGACATTAACTTTTTGCGATCGCTATAGCGATTCGCAAAACAGCGATTCTTATGGGGGAATTTCGCTGGACAATGTTTGGTCCCTGCTTCACAAACCGATTTTCGCTAGATGACGATTTTGACAGCTCCCTCCACGCTCGCAAAACAAGTGTTTTCAGGACCTAAGCTTCACAGCATAGCATAGCAGCATAGGCATCCTTCAGTCTCGAGCGACTATGGTAACATGCTCTGAAACAAGGAGTGTCCTCTCCAGAGCATGAAGCCCGGGTAAGGTAATATGGAGGATAGGCTGCTACCCAAGCAGCAGATCCCCCCTCTCCACATTGCTGAAATGGTCCAATGGAAAGGCAAGAGCCAATACAACTGGTTTCAGCAACGTCGCAGGAGCTGGCAGAACGACACATGCTGCCTTCGGGAAGCTTCACAAGACCGCATTTTAAACAGCTGATCAGCGGTTCACAAAGCGGCTTTCCTATGGCCGATCTTCACTATACAACAATTCTTCCCCATTGGAACGCAGTAAGCAGGTTTCAATGCATTCCAATGGGGAAATGCTTTTTGCTAGACAATGATTTCGCTAAACAGCGATTTCAGTGGAACGGATTATCATTGTCTATGGAGGCACCACTGTACATCCATAAGATGACTGTTTTGACAGATGGAAAGCCCTATACTGTGAGTAATGTGCCATAGCTATCCAGTTGATAAAATGGCTCTAGAACTCAGAATCCCAAATCAGCCTTGGAAACTCATCGTGGAACTGGTAAAACCACTCTTATCTTACTTGAACACCTTGTTAGGGATGCTATAAGGCAGTTCTGACTTAAGGGCACATAACAACAAGGTACCACAAGATGGAGAAGCCAGGTTTCATTTTGAACATGAGAAGCAGGAAGGGGCAAGAGACTTACATGAGTTGTGATATAGTAAATATAGTTTTGCAAATGAACTGAACAGATGGTAGAAGCACAATAGGCTCGCCACTGGCTGAACTCTACATAGACTGACTTCTATCTACATTTCAATTTGTCAGTTCAAAAATATGGTCAATGAGTGTCTTAAGCAACTTTAAGTATCAATGCCTTATTCCCCATCAGACATGTCAACATAGTTGTCTAATGAAAATGATACATAATAAATAGAATAACTGGAAAAAAATTTAATGATCAACTAGCTCATTTCTGTAGATAGTCATGCCTACAGGTTCATAGGCTAAGCATATGTGTCCTGGGGAACATATTTTAATTTTTTTCTTCTCAGAGTTTGCCTGCTCAAAATATCCAGTCTTTTTTCTTCCACTCAATAGGAAGCCACTGACAACTATTACACTTTTTAAAGGTTGAGAGAAGAACCATCACAGAACAGCACAATATCATCACAAGGAACTGGGAATGAAAATAATGCCACATTTGTGTTTTCAGTCAAGTAATTATTTTGCATCAATATCAGCATAGAGACTAGTGAGACCTAACACTTGCCCATTTTTTTGAGACATCGCAAAAACTCTGCTCTTTTTCCTGCAGCAGACTGACATAGATTACCCCTCCCTACCCTGTATAAATGTTGTATTGCTGTTTGGTTAGATGCAAACAAAAATGATGCTGGACCACATTTTTAGTTCCACAGCCACCTTAGAAATGAGACAAAAATAACTCAAAGAAAATTAAAGTTTTATTCAGGTACTGTAATTACTTATTTTCATAATGCAGTTTAAAGCAAGAACATTTTTTGCCCCAGAAACATTTCCCCTCCTTTGTCATACATGCATTCAATATATGCTTAAAAAACCCCAACTCTCATTCATAAACAAAAGTGCAACTGTCATTCATGTAAACTTTTCTTTATAATCCTCCATAGTTTTAGAAGTCATAAGTAAAACCTATGGATGTCAATAAGGCTCATTGTTCTAGTAAAATACTATTTTATGTCATCAAGTACTGTATGCATGGTAATTATTGTGGAATTGCCTGTATGTACACAGGTGCCTAATGCACCACAAACTTCAGTCTCACTTGCAGGGTAAGAGGGGTCAACATCAAAAAACAACTTAATTTCATCTTATTTTTAATATTCCTTTTTGCATGAAGCTTGAAATCAGCTGCATCTGTTTTGAAAAGTTTCACAAAATGCATGGAGACAGATATAACAGCTGATAGAATACATATTTAAAAACAAAGATTTCTAGCTGTGATTCTAGATGAAATTACTTATCTAGAAATCTGCAAACTATTGCACTATTGTGCAGGATTGTCAATATTATTGAAACATTCCATTTCAGACACAGACACGCAGGAAAATTCACCATATTTTTAATATGGCAGCTACTGAGAAGTGGCAAACTTTTGATATTTTGCCTATAAATATTTCTGCATCATATATAGGAGTGCATATTGTATTGTTTCTGTAATATGAACCATGAATAATTTACAACATTAAAATACACTTCAGTGGATCTACATACAGCCATGTCTAACTTCCTACTACCACCTGTATCACCCACCACCACCAATCCACTGGAAATGCTACACAGAGCATCAGCAGATCCTGCTGAATAGAGGGACTAGTGGCAGGAGCAGGTTGCAAAGCCAGGCAGAGGAAACTTTTGCAAGCATCACACTATTGTTGTTAATATATCCCAAATAACGCAAATGAATTTACACATCCGGTTTACTGTGATGTGTGCTATTTCTACACAAACAAGTTACAAAATAAAAAAATAGCTTTCACTTACAGTGGACCCTTGACTTACAGACGGCTTGACTTACAGACTTTTTGAGTTACAGACTTCTCTGGCCGCAAAATTTAGGTTTGACTTGCAGACTGAGATTTGACTTACAGACCAGAAAAAAAACAAAATGGAACAAAAACGGCCTGTCGCGGGATTGACTTACAGACTTTTTGACTTGAGAACCACCTTCCAATA